CCTCCTCCCTCCTCATCCCTCCTCCTCCTCCTACTCCTTCCTCCTCCCCCTCTCCTCCTCATCCTCTTCCTCCTCCTCCCCCTCCTCCTCCTCCTCCTCCTCCTCCTCCTCCTCCTCCTCCTCCTCCTCCTCCTCCTCCTCCGGTTCGCCTTCGGCCCCGGGGGGAACCGTGCAGCACAAGGTCGCTTCGCCATCTCGCGCGAGGCCCGCTTCTTTCCGTCGCTCAGGTGCACGGCCAGCCTCGGTCCCGGCGGGCCCCGAGGCCGTGCTTCCGTTCAACGCCGCGCTGAGCGTCTGCGAGAAGAGCCGGCAGTCAGAGCAGGAAAAGAAGGTACGGTAGGCTCACGTCGTGTCGACCGGCGGTGACCCCGCCGCTGGCGTTCAACTTTGAACGCCGGCGGCGACCCAGAACCCGTCGATGTTGAATGATTTGACTTTTCGGAAGGGACCGATCGTTCAAGGTTGACTGATCCCCGCGGTCTCAGGAACTAACGCTGGAGTCGACACGACACGAACCCGCAGTACCGCTACCGCTACCATTCTCTCATTTTCGCCTTTTGGGGCCTTTTGGGAGGCCCTCGCCGCCATGGCTGGATTCGCCTTGGAATTCTGTTCAGGGCGCACTCTGGGAGGGGATCGTGGAGCAGCGGTATGGGTTCGTTTTGGTTCCCCCCAGGCAGTGGCAGCACGCGTTGGGCGTCTTTCGGTCTCTGCACGAGGCCGGACTGCGGCCAACCCTTGTTACCTTCAACGCGGTCATTCTGTGCGCCCAGAAGGGGGACAGAAAATGTGGGCACATTGCCCAAGAGCAATTTCAGATCATCTGGACCAGGATGTATTGCAATTCGGGCCCCATTGGACATCAAATTCTAGACGCTTCGCGTATCCCCACCAGCCCGTCCAGAAATGAGTCCCAGGGGAGTGGAGGTTATGAGGGAAGCGGGGGAGCATGCAGAAGAACAAAGGGCGGGGTGAGCCGCCATATACCCCAAGAGGGGGAGGATGTAGGAGGAGCCGTCGTCGTCGGAGTAGGAGGAGGAAGAGGAGGAGCAGGAGGAGGAGCAGGAGGAGGAGGAGGAGGAGGAATAGAAGGAGGAGGAGATGGAGGACTGCGAGAGGCGCGCCCCCGCCAGTGATCCTGCGTTCTCTCTTTCCTCTTTCGCTCACAGCCAACATTCTGGCTACGGTAAGTTTCTGCGGCCGTCAGTTCCCATGGGGCGCAATGGCGGCGGCAGGCAGCAGGCGTTCAGCGCGACCTGGACGTGCTGTAACAAGAAATGCGGATTCGACAATAACTTCCCTTGGCGTACTACGTGCTGGGCGTGTGGCAAGCCCAAAGGTGCTGTCCCTGCACCGGCGGTGCCGCGCCCTCCTGCTGGCGCTTGGGTTCGTCCTCCTCGGCTGCAGCCACAAGGAGGCTCACCAGGTGCAGGGCAAGGGCATGGCGCAGGTGGCGGCAAGCTCACCCCTGAGCGCAGGGACGCCCTGCTTGCCATGTCCGCCGAGCACTTCGAGGCCTGCAGCATCTGGCTGTCGCCTGGTCAGAAGGCGCACTTGCTGGGGCTGCGTGCTGTGCAGACAGGCGACCCGCTGGCCCTCAGTCGCCAGGCCAAGCAGCAGCACGACACGCTCAAGGATCAGGTCGCCAAGGCCAAGAACGCCTGGGAGAAGTCTCAGGAAGTGCTGGCCAAGCAGTTGCAGAAGACTGCTGAGCTCAAGGCGAAGTACATGGAGCTCGAGGCCAAGGAGCTCGAGGCGGCCCGCGCCGCCGCCAGCGCTTTCTCCGAGCTTGGGCGTGCCTCTAGGCCTCAGCCTGCTGACCATGCTGCGTACCTTGTGGAGCAGCTGCGTGAGCTGGGGGTCGAGGCGGGCGTGGTCGACTCGATCAAGCAGGTCGCGGAGGCCCGCCAGAAGGCCAAGAAGGACGAGGAGGAAGCGGCTGCTGCAAAAGCTGGTGCTGAGGCGGCAGATCGTGGTCATGAACGTGATGCTGGTGGTGCTGCTGCTGAGCCCAGTGATGCTGCAGGCGATCACGACATCGACATGGATGCGGCCATCGGCAACCTCAAGCAGGGCGACTGGATGGACAAACTCGTCAGCTCTGCAGGTGAGAGCGGCATCACTCGATCGCAGCTGGAGGCTGCGCTCGATGAGGCCGGTGCTGATTTCAAACGGAAGCGCCTCTAGCCGTGCGGCTAGACGCGCCATGGGGCCAAAGGCCCCGAGGTTTTGGAATATTGTCTCTGCCAATGTCACTGATCGCTCTGGGCTTGACATTTTCCTCTCCTCCCCCTCTGTGCTCCAGGCTCAGTTAGTCGGTGTACAGGAAACGCGGGTGTTGGAGGTTGAAGCTTGTGAGCATAAACTCAGGCGGCAAGGGTGGAGAGCCAAACTTTCGCCAGCCCGTCAGACGGCTGGAGGCGGCATATCTGCTGGCACGATGCTCGCTGTGCCGAAGCATATCGGCCTGGCGCCGATTGAGAGCTTTCCGATCGACGTGCAGGTGGGGAGGATGATGGTGATGCATGTGGGAGGTCTCGTACCAGGGGGTTTCCTAGCGTGCACGCTCTATCTGCATCATTCTGTCGGTCTTGCACCTGCCAACTGGGATCTTCTTTGCAGGCTAGGCGCGCTGCTGAAAATGGCCAACATGCCGTTCCTCATCTTCGGGGACTTTAATCTCGAGCCTGACGTGCTCCAGCATTCAGGCTGGGTTGATGCAATCGACGGCGCTGCCATTTACACGGATGCTGGAACATGTGCGCCAGCACACAGGACCATTGATTTTTTCGTTGTCTCCAAGGCGTTTGCGGCGAACGCCTCGGTCTCACTGCTGGCAGAAGTGGCGATCACCCCGCATATTCCAGTAAAGTTGAAGCTACCCACCTTGGACACTGTACCCTCGGTGCGCATGGCTATGGTTCCCCGCAGGTTCCCCAGGGAGTTGCCCATTGGTTGCCGTGGAGAGCCCAACGTAGCCAGGTGGGAGGTGGCGTCGGAGATGATGAGCAATGCTAGCATATCTAAGTCGTGGCAAGTTTTTGTTTCGGCTGCTGAGCTTGAATGGTTAGAGGTGTTTCAGATTCCTTCTGAACTTTCGAAACCTTACCTTGGGCGTGGTGGTGATGTTCGTACTGGGTGGTGTCGACCGAGCCGGCCTGCTCCAGTTCCTTTTCCGCGTCTGAGCCCTCAAGCTGTGTGGTGGAGAGCCTTGGCACAGGTCCTTAAGACCCTCACGAGGCCCATCAGCTCTGCCCAGACCAAGCAGGTACTTTGCAGGATCCGACATCTTCAGAGTTCGCCTGATGTTCCAGATTCGAAGCTCGCGGTTTGTTTCCTGGAGGCCCTGGATCGGTTTCGCGTCTTCGACTACGTAGTTATGGACTATTTCGCCACCGTCGCCAGCGACACTGCCGAGCGCCTGCACAAGCAGGCGACCCAGCTGAAGATAGTCAACTGGGACCGATGGGTAAAAATGCACTCGGTAGGCGGGGCTGCTGCCCTCTTCAAGTATGTGCAGCTGCCTGACCCGTGGCAGCCGTCCACCCTCGACTCCTTCACCCTCCGACCCAACACCAGCATGGGGGAAATGGACGAACTTGAAAGGGAGTGGAGCAAGTGGTGGCAGGTGGGGGTCGCGCAGCCCCCCGTGCACTGGCCTGAGGATCTCGGAGAGCGCCCGTCTCCCCCCACGGTCCCAGAGCTCAAGAAAGTGTTGATGTCCTTCCCGCTAGGCACTGGTTGTGGATACGACCAGGTCCCGCCTAGGAGTTTTCTGCACTTGCCCGACATTGCGCTCGAGCTTTTGTGCGGCCTCATCGGGAAGATTGAGGAGCAGGCGGACTGGCCTCCCCTCACGAACAAGATTGTTTTTATTCTCAAAAGACTGGGAGGAGTCCGACCCCTGGGGCTGTTACACGTTCTCTGTCGGGTGCAGTCCAGGTTGAGAAGGCCTTTGATCAGGCAGTGGCAAGTCAAGAACTATCGGAGTTTTTGGTGGGGCACCAAGGGGAAAAGCGCCGACATGTGTGTGTACATTCAGGCCGTGTGGGCGGAGTATTATCAGTCCAAGGGCCTGTCGTCTGCTACGTTGCTGCTCGATTTAAAGAAAGCGTTTGAACTGGTCAAGCATCATCATCTTGTCCAGGCTGCCGCTCGCACTGGATTTCCTTTGTGGCAACTGCGTTTGCTTGTGCAAGTCTATCGGTCGCCCCGCCTGCTTGATCTCCAAGGGACTGTTAGTAATCACATCACGGCGGAAACTACGATTATCCCTGGGTGTGGTTTTGCTACTGTTTTGCTGCAACTTGTGTTGCTGGGCCCCCTGGATGTTGTTCAGAAGGAGTTTCGGGCCATCTGTCTTTCCGTGGTTGTCGACGATTTTGCTTTGCAGAGATCGGGGGAGCACGGCCGTGTCGTTGCTGATGTTGCTGGTGCTGGAGTGAAGCTTCAGCGCGAGCTTCAGCGCGTGGATCTACGGCTCGCTCTTGACAAGACGCGTGTTCTTGCTAGTGACTCTGATTTACGTGACCAGCTGTCCAGGAGGCTAGTATCGCTTAGGGCCCAGGGCGTGAACCATGAGCGCAACCTGGGGGTTGACTACAGTTCAGGACGGTTTCTCAGGAGGACCACCAGGACGGGCAGAATTAAGGTCGCCAAACCCAAGCTCAAGAGAATGAAACATCTCCAGGGAGGTATGGCCAGGCGGAAAACCATGGCCATCATGGCCAGGGCGGCTTTGGAGACTTCGGTTGCCTTTGGGACCTCTGTTCAGGGTACTGCCTCAAAGGAGCTGGACGTGTTGCGTTCCCAGGCCGCTGCGGCGCTCGACGCCAAGACCAGCGGCAAGAGCCGCACTCTCGCTCTCGCGCTCGCGCCGCAGGCCAACTACGACCCGATCTGGAGGGCTACTCTGGAGCCTATCAAAGCGTTTAGTTCTGTTCTTTGGGCGTCGCGTGTGCCAGTGTCATGTCTTAGAGCATGGCCTTGAGGCTGCTAGATTGGCGTTGTCTGGGAAGGACCAAATGTGGCCGCAGGTTCGGGGCCCCTTGGGAGCCCTTTATGCTACGCTCACCAGAGTCGGGATCGTCGTCGTCGAGCCCCTGGTCTGGAAGCTGCCTGACGGTCTGGAGCTGAAACTCACGGACATTTGCCCCAGGGTCCTCCTGCACTGTTGTGCGCACGCGGTGCGCCACTGGGTCAACCTGCAGATTTCGGAGCACCTTCAGATGCCTGAATTTCGTGCTGGTTTCTGGGATGGGCCTCTGAAGTACCTCCTGAGCGCCAAGGGGAACCTCACTTGGCAGCAGCGTGGTTACCTCAGGAGTGCTATCATTGGAGCTCAGTGGCCCCAAGATCGGCAATTTCAACAAGGTTGGATTGACTCCCCGAGTTGCCTTGCATGCCTTGAGGCCCCTGGGTCCCTCGTGCACCGGCACGCTGTGTGTAAGAGCATGCTCGAGGCAATAGGAGAGCCACTCCCTGATGCAATCAGACTCATGCTCCCGCATGCGGACCAGAATGACCTGGTGCGCCTGATGCTGGAGCGTGTGCTTGTCCCGCTCCCCAAGGCCCCTCAGGCTCTGCTGCAGACGCCGTTGGAGCCTCGTGTGGAATGGCACGGGGATGCGCAACAGCTCACAGGGGATCTGTTTCTTGATGGGTCATTGTTTACTGATTACCCACATCGCGGGATTGCTGCATGGGCAGTCGTCGCGCTGGCCGCCAACAGTGACACGGCTGTCTGCACCATCACAGGTCTCCTGCCCTACCCGCTGCAGGACATAGACGGTGCTGAACTTTATGCCCTGCTCGCAGTGCTCAGGTTCGCGGTGCCACCTGTTGTCGTGCACACGGATTCAGATTTTGTTTGGAAAGGTTACAATATCCGCGGACCAGCTGACACCACGTCGGCGTCGGCGGCTTGGGCCTGTCTTTGGAAGCTTGTTTGGCACAAAGTTGACGATTGGGGGGGTACCCCCCCTGAGGTCAAGAAAGTGAAAGCCCATGTGACAGACACTTTGATAGCGGAAGGGAGGTATAAGCTTCGGGACAAACTTGGTAATGAAGCCGCCGACGGTGCTGCGAACAGTCGTGCTCGTGTCCTGCGGCCCGATCCCCAGTTTCAGAAGCTTGTTTTGATGCAGAAGAAGATGGTCAGTCTTACGGGGAAATGGGCCGCCAGGGCGGGTGAGGCCATTGCGTCCGTCGACTGTCTGCACCGTCAGCGCTCTGCACGTTCAGCCCCCTCCCTAATCATTGTCAAGCCAGAGCCGCCCACCTTAGAGCAAAGGATCCAGCAGGCTCAGGTTTCTCTGAAGGCCGCTGGGTCCAAGCATCATCGGGTGGCCTCGCTGTTTGTGGGCGAAACCCAGGTTTTTTGTTGCACTCACTGCGCTGCATGCACCACCCAGCGCGTGGTGTCTCTTGCGAGTGAGTGCCAGCCCCGCCATCTCTCGAAGGACCGTCGCCTTATCCTTGAACGATTGAGGCGGGGCGAGTACTGTTTGGCCAAGAGGGTTCTGAGGTATGCAGGATATCGCCTGCTCCCAGAGCCCTAATCCTTTATTATTGTCCGATGGGCGCGGCTAATGGCGGTTGCAAGGTGCGCCCCTAGCCGCGTTCGAGGTCCTGCTGAGGCACCATAGACTCTGTGGCGCCCCAGGCTGTGCCCAGGGAGGAGGAAGAAAAAGAGGAGGAGGAGGAGGAGGAGGAGGAGGAGGAGGACAATTGCGAGCTTGGGGGCCTCTTGGGCCGTCCTTGGGGCCTCTTGGCGGTCCCGGGGGCCTCTTGCGTATCTCGGGGAGCCTCTTGTGGCCTCTTGGGGGTCTCTTGGGAGCCTCTTGGAGGCCTCTTGGGGGCCTCTTGGGGCCTCTTGGGGCCCTCTTGGGGCGCTCTTGGGAGCCTTCGAGGCGCTCTTGGGGCCATCTTGGAGGAGATCTATCAAAGAAGGGGGGGTCCCCAATTAGCGCTGCTCCGCTAGAGTGCCTCCAGTCGCCTCTTGGGCCCCCCCAAGAGGCCAAAATCCTTCCAAAACCTAGGTAAAATCAATGTTACCTAACATCGAAGACTGATAGGTTTCTAATAGGGTAAAAAGAGAGCAGCACATTACTTCAACATTACTTCAACATTACTCCACAGGGGGGTCTGGGCAGCCGTTGGGGGCAGTTGGGTGGCAGTTGGGGGGCCGTTGGGGTTTGCCGGGGGGGATCGTTTTTCGCATACAGTCACACACTTCGTGCTTTTCGATTTCCCAGAACTCCATTCCCGGGCCACATTTTGGAATGCCCGGAGCCAACTGTAGGCCACTTCGTGCTCTTCGATTTCCCAGAACTCCATTCCCGGGCCACATTTTGGATGCCCGGAGCCAACTGTAGGCCACTTCGTGCTCTTCGACTTCCCAGAACTCCATTCCCGGGCCACATTTTGGATGCCCGGAGCCAACTGTAGGCCACTTCGTGCTCTTCGAGTTCCCAGAACTCCATTCCCGGGCCACATTTTGAATGCCCGGAGCCAACTGTAGGCCACTTCGTGCTCTTCGAGTTCCCAGAACTCCATTCCTGGGCATGATTTTGAATGCCCGGAGCCAACTGTAGGCCACTTCGTGTTCTTCGAGTTCCCAGAATTCCATTCCTGGGCCACATTTTGAAAGCTGAGGCAGGCTGATGCTGAGGCTGAGGCAGGCTGAGGCTGAGGCAGGCTGAGGCTGAGGCCGAGGCTGAAGGCAGACTGAGGCTGAGGCTGAAGCAGGCTGAGGCTGAGGCAGAGGCAGGCTGAGGCTGAGGCAGGCTGAGGCTGATGGGCTGAAGGCTGAGGCAGGCTGAGGCCGAGGCTGAAGGCAGACTGAGGCTGAAGCAGGCTGAGGCTGAGGCTGAGGCTGATGCAGGCTGAGGCTGAGGCAGGCTGAGGCTGAGGCTGAGGCTGAAGGCAGACTGAGGCTGAGGCTGAAGCAGGCTGAGGCTGAGGCAGGCTGAGGCTGAGGCAGGCTGAGGCTGAGGCTGAGGCTGATGCTGAGGCTGAGGCTGAGGCTGAGGCTGAGGCTGAGAGGCTGAGGCTGAGGCTGAGGCTGAAGGCAGGCTGAGGCTGAGGCTGAAGCAGGCTGAGGCTGAGGCTGAGGCAGGCTGAGGCTGAGGCTGAGGCAGGCTGATGCTGAGGCAGGCTGAGGCTGAGGCTGAGGCTGATGCAGGCTGAGGCTGAGGCAGGCTGAGGCTGAGGCCGAGGCTGAAGGCAGACTGAGGCTGAGGCTGAAGCAGGCTGAGGCTGAGGCTGAGGCAGGCTGAGGCTGAGGCTGAGGCAGGCTGATGCTGAGGCTGAGGCAGGCTGAGCTGAGGCTGAGGCTGAGGCTGAGGCTGAGGCTGAGGGCTGAGGCTGAGGCAGGCTGAGGCTGAGGCCGAGGCTGAAGGCAGACTGAGGCTGAGGCTGAAGCAGGCTGAGGCTGAGGCTGAGGCAGGCTGAGGCTGAGGCTGAGGCTGAGGCTGAGGCTGAGGCTGATGCAGGCTGAGGCTGAGGCTGCTG